GTCGGGTACTTACTTTGCTAAGAATAACTACTTCAACTATACAAACAGAAATAATACTTTACTCTGGTTTATTACAAGGAGTAAGTAAAATTATGCAGAAAATATTGAGTGCTCTCTAGGATAGAGTTAGCAATCAGGAAATAATAGCTATTATTTTCTATCAAGAGCTTTCAAAATATTCATAGCCCTTGACACAGTAATTTCATATATAATCACCTGATTTGAGGAATAATGCAAAATAAGGAAACAGTTTTGTATAAAGAAATTTTTCAAGGTGTTATTTGTGTTTTTTTCTTTTAAAAAAGGATCTAATATTAGAAGTATACTTAAGTATGTTATGGCCTATCCATTAAATAAAATAGTTAGCAATGGTGAGAATGATGTTTAGAAAGCATTTATAACAATTTGAGAAATATTTACATAATAACATTATAATATGGCAAATGAGGCTATAATAAACTAATATTTAGGATCATAAAAATTCACAGTAATTATACCAAAGGTGGGGGATGGGACACCTGGAAGGTCTTATCTCTGGGAAGTAAAATGATGAGTGAAAATTAGCTATTTCAAACCTGTTTTCTATATTTTCCAAAATTTATCGATGGGAAAAACTATATAAATAAAATGCTCATCTACTGATCAATGTAAATATACACCATTTTGTCAGTTTTATAAACTTTGATTTATGTATTCAACAAGAGATAATAGAAGATAAAAAGAATATAAAGGAATAATATGAACAAGTACATGTTAACAAATTAGGTAATTTCTAAAAGGCTATCAACTGACCAAAAGTGACTCAAGAAAAAAGGAAAAATATTTGGTACTGGGGATTGAACCCAGGACCTTGTGCTTGCCAGGCAGGTGTTTATTCCACTAAGTCATCTCCCCAGCCCCCAAAAAGGAAAATCTGAATAGAGTTATAATAAGAAAAACCTGAGTAGAGTTATAACAAGAAATAGGATAAGTAATAAAAACAAAACTACCCACAAAGAAAAACCCCATGACTAGAAGGGTTCATTGAAGAATTCTGCTTAAGATTTAAAAACTTCACATCAGTTCTTCTCAAACTGTTGCAAAATATGGAATAGAAGGGCATACTCTCCAACTTATTTTATAAAATCATACCACCCTGATATAAAAGCCAAAGACATGACAAGAAAACTTTAGACCAGCAATAACAAACCTTGTAGGGACGAGGGCCCAGACTACAACCCTAAACCCACGTACTTACCTCAAAGTGCCAATACTGTGATTAAACCTGGGTACAGACGTTTTAATTTAGAAAAAAGAAGTCATACATTAACATATTTTGTCTAAAAGAAAAATAAACAACATACATGTTGTTGATTCACCACCACTGCTACAGACTGATACCTCTTATAAGGACAGATGTAAAGTTCTTCTACAAAATAGTAGCGAACTGACTTCAACAACATCTAAAAAGCATTAATGGGCCATAGCTCAGCGGTCTAAGTACCTGCCTAGGCAAGTGCAAGGACCCGGGTTCATTCCTAGGTTTGATCCCCAGCACCACACGCCATGCTGGCCTTGTCCTGGGCACAACCAGCCACCAAGACCAGGGGTGGTGGTGCATGTCTCTAATCCCAGCACTGCACAGGCTGAAACGGGAGGATCACTGTGAGTCTGAGCTGCGTAGTGAGACCATGTACCAAATACATTAAAAAAAAAAACTAAAAAAAGAAAAAGCATTAGTATACATGATGTGGGATTTATTCCAGAAATGCAATGTTAGTTTCACATCTGAAATTTAATTAATGTAATATACTATACTATACTATACTATACTATACTATACTATACTATAGCAAACTATTGAAATCAGTTCGCTATATACCATACAATAAAGGACAAAAACCACACGATCATCTCCACACATGCAGAAAACTCTGACAAAACTAAACAGCACTTTATTTTTAAAAAAAGATCAACAAACTAGGAGTATGAGTGAACTTCCTCAACCTGATAAAAAGTACCTATCAAAAAGCCACAACTATATACTGAAGGACTGAATGCTTTCTGCCCAAAGTTTAGAAATAAGACAAGGATGTGTATTCTTGTGTTTCTCTTCAACATTTTAATGGAGGACATAGCCAAACAAGAAAAAAAATTAATATATTGGAAAGGCAGAAGGAAAACTATCTATTTACAGATGACATAATTTATAAATGAAAATTCCGTAGGAATCCACTAAAAATCAATTACAGCTAACAAAGAAGGATAGCAACCTTTCAGGATACAAAAAGCACTTGTTTTACATACATTTACAATGAACAAACCAAAAATAAAATTAAGGAAACAATTCTATTTAGAATAGTATCAAAAAATGAAATGCCTAGTTAAGTATAGCTTAAATAAGTATATGATTTAGGCTTAGTACTATAAAACATTTATGAAAAGAATATCTAAACACAAAGACATCCTATGTTCATCAGCCTTATGGTTTTCTTGCTAAAATGGTAGGACCCCTCCCCCAGTCAATCTGTAGATGCAACGCAGTCCCCATTAACATTCCGGCTCAACTCCCCCTTCTCTCTCTCTCTCTCTCTCTCTCTCTCTCTCTCTCTCTCTCTTTCTCTCTGTGTGTGTGTGTGTGTGACTGAAGATGAAATCTAGGGCCTTTCACATGCTAGGCAATCACTCTAACACTGAACTATACCTCTAGTCCCGGGCTGTCCTCTCTTGAGAAATAGGCAGATTGATCCTAAATTTCATATGGAAATGCAAGGGACACAGAATAGACAAAACAATCTTGAAAAAGAAAAAAGAAGTTGAAGGACTCATACCAATTTCAAAACTTTCTATAAAGATACAGTAAGCAAGGCATTAACACAGGCATAAAAAGGTATATAGATCAACAGATTAAAATTTTGAGTCCAAAAAAAACCTCTCACATTTGCAGTCAATTGATTTTTGACAAGAATGCCAAGACCATTTGCTGGGAAAAGAAGTCTTTTCAACAAATGGTGCTGCAACAACTGGATATTGACATGCAAAGAATGAATTTGTACCTATACCTCACACAATATAAAAATTAACTCAAAATTAACCAAAAACTAAATGTAAGATCTAAAACTATAAACCTTAAGTGAAAAATATGAACACAAATCTTAGACCTAGCAATGGACTCTTGGATAAGAAACTGCTTAATGGATAAGATATTTTACTTTGGAGTAATGGAAATGTTCTGGAGCTAGACGGGGATTATGGTTGCACAACATTGGACTAAACTAAATGCTACTGAGTTGTTTGCATAATGAAGTTAATTTTATATTACTTAAATTTCACCCAGTTTTTAAAAAGTAATCCAAAATTCTAAGATAATGTTTCCACTTACACATAATATTGAAAGGTGAAAAGCATTTCAAAAAGAAACAGAATTTGTTTTTTATAAACTAGACTTAGCCTTTTAAGAATTTTTCTCAACTGGGTGTGTGGTGCACACCTATAGTCCCAGGACTCAGGAGGCGGCAGCAGGAGGATTGTTGCAAGTTTGAGACTGCCCTTGGGCTACCAAGTGAATTCAAGGTCAGCCTGAACTACATAGCAAGACCCTGTCTCAAAGAGACAAAAAAAATTAAAACTAAATTTAAAAACTTTTCTGTCTTGAGGATTGAATTCAGGGTTTTGCACCTATTAAGCAACTGTTCTACCAACTAAGCGGCATCTTCAGCCCCTCTACTTCCCACTTTTTAAACTAAGAAATCTGGCCAAATTTAAAGAGCTCTGAGTAACTCTAGATATAAAAAGATACTCTCATCACTGTCTGCTAATAAATTACTAGTATACTAGGGATTAGTTCAATTGGAGTTTTTAAAAAATCTGTTTCATGTTTCACGGCACATTCAAAGATTTAAGAGAATTAATGCCCCTACCAATGTCCTTTCCTACTTACAGAGATGAGCTTGGTAACTCATTGGCACAAGTTAGCTAGGAGGGACAACATTGGATTCCCAAAAGAAAACATCCTGAACTAATCACTAAAGAACAGTGATGCTGAACCTTTTAGAGCCTGAGTGCCCAAACTGAAATCCAAAAGCCACTTATTTACTGTAAAATACTGCAATTGAACCTGCATATTGAGCTAGTAGTATAGAAGAAACAACTCGTGATGTCATCGCGGAGAGGATGCTGCACGCTCCCTTGGCTCACATGCTATAGGTTCACCATTACAGCTACAGAGTATGCTGCCTCCTAAGTACTCTACCTTAAGCCTGAATAAACTTCCAGAACCAAGATGTGGGCTTGAAACCGGGATAATTATCTATAATCTAGATAACAAAGGAATGGAGTTTAACAGCAAATTATTCATATAATTGTCCCAAATTGCTTTTATTTTAATTTGCTGGTAGAGTCTATGCCCCTAAAACATTCAAGTGAGTTTCAACTAGATTCCAGTAGCCATGAAAAAGCACCTCCAAAGAAAAGCCTCTAATTATATGCAGGTAGAGGAGGGGTGTCATCTATTCAGAAATGACAGTCTTTTGGGAAACAGATGACCTAGCAATCCCCAAATTCACCATAGAATATTTTTAAAACATGAAGCAAGTCTCGTGAAGTTCTATGTTGAAGAGATATAAAAAATGTGATCACTGAGTTATAAAAGCTAATAAAATTCAATGATGCTACTAAATGTCACAAAGGTATGGATACAACTATTTGTAAGAGTACTGAAGTACTCTTACAAAATACAGTGTCTTTCTTTGTTCCCTTCCACTGTATTATAAATTGGGATTTTTATATTGGCACATTTCCAACTGAAATTAAATCAAACATCAGAAGCCTCTTAGGTAATACTTTATGGTATTATCCATCTTTCCTCTGGTAGATTCTCATTATTTCACCTTCAATTCAACTGATGATGCCTTGTACAAAATCACACAGGGCAACGGAAGTAAATGAGAAAGGAGGACAATATGAGTGGGGTTTACTCATTCTTTTTCATTCATAAACACAGGTACATTCCCAATACTCACCTTTCTCAGATTTCTTGCTGTTCAAGGCAGAATTCCCACAGCCCATGGCTTCTAAATCATACTATGTTCAAGAATTCAACTGCTGCTTCCAAGAAGTATGACAAGTCCCCCTTTTTGTGCTGAGTAGCCACTCTTAGCTGAACCCTTTCAAATACGGATTCTGAAGAGGGAAACAGAAGATGGAGGTACAGCAACAGTTAACAACATCGTAGCTAAGGGGCTTCCCAGTGGGATACATTTTATGCTTCTTGTGAATTGCCATTCACCATATGATATGGAAAATGATCAGACATAATCTGACCCTGGTTTATTTTCCAAACCACATAAGCAGCCACTGAGAAGCTTTAGATTTTTTTTCTGCTACACATAAATTAGAGTTTCCTCTTGTCTAGGTCAGATCAAGTTCTGTATAAAATTAAGCATTAAGAAGGAAAAAGAAAAATGAATTGCAAGAACTACAATTTTCTAATTGAAATACAGAGAATGGAAGATGGAAGAGCTGACATAATTTAATTGTTTTGGCTTTGTACTCAAAGTAATTAAATCTATCTAAGTCTTTAAAAACACAAATTGGAAGCTTTCTGTGAGACAAAAACAATATACTTAAACAACTATCCTACAATTCAAATCAAAGAGACTTTTTTAAACAATATTTCTCACAAGAAGTTGAAATTTGTTTCTCTTTTAAAGTTAGTATAAGACTTTCCCTTAAATTTAGAAATCATAATCTATGAGTATCTCTTTTAAGCCAGCTCCCCAGTCTATGCTAAGGCTCCACCAGTGTCCCATCTTCTGCTCACAAAACCCCTTAATGAAGCTGCTGAACGGGTACTTCCATAATTGCTACATGGATTTTCCAACAAATTCCTCTGTGCTATATACTATCCCATCAGTCTTGAGGGCAATGTTTCTTCTACTTCATGACGTTCTAAATCAGCCTTGTTCTTGATAGGAACACAGAGAGTGACTAACTCCGGACTTCACCTGACATGTCTATTTTTCCATTACTACTACACTAAAAGCTTCAAAATTTCAACTGAAGAAAGGGGCACAAAAATGAGTAATAGGGCTAAGGACAAAGCTCAGCAGTAGAGCACATGCTTAGCATACCTCATGAGCTAGGTTCAATCCCCAGCACCAAACAAAAACCAAGATACTTGAACTATGAGAATATTTTTTAAACAAAAATAACTTTAATAAGCAGATTTTCCGATGAGAGGTAGGCCTGCCTAAACTCTGGTTTGTTTCCAAATTTGATAGGCATTTCTTTCATGTCTTTCTTATCTATAAATGGATTTTCTCAAAAATGTTAACAAGGTCAGATCCAAAGGTTGAATAAGGCCTGTGGCATGAGATTCCAGTGCACACTTCAGGGTCACACAGATCCATTAAATTCACACTATATAAGCACATTTGTTCATAAAGAAGGAGAAAGGAGGAGAAAAAGAAAGGAAGGAAGGGGAGAAGGAAGAGAAGAAGGAGGGGATAGGTTTAGCATGACTTTTAACTCTAAAAACGTAAATGTTTAAAGGTAAGAGAGACAGTTAAAATTATCTAGTATTTATATAAAGTGCAAGGAAGTTAAGAAACTTGCCTAACATCACACAGACCTATAGTTGTCAGGCTACTGCATGTTAGTCATGTAGGGAGCTTATAAAATTCCCAGTGCTTAGCCACCACATTAGATCAATTTCTGGGGGGTTAAAAAATACTGATTGGCAGTTCCTCTTAGAGATTCTGATGTAACTGGTATTGGGTAGCAACTGAGTATCAATATTTGAACACGCCCCAGATAATTCTTATATGGAGCTAAGATTGACAACTTCTAATAGAAACAATGTTTGACTAAACCCATGATGCTGCCTAGCAGTCATCTGCCTAGAAATGCTCTGACTCTTAACTATTTGAAGTTGATTTTTTCCAGAGTCAAGCTTACAAGTCTGTGGCATCTTGCATCTAGTATTTTCTTATATTTGAACTTGGACCACTACTGGCCCTTTTTTATACTCAGTAATTTCTCAAAAGTCTTCTGCAGTGCCTACATATCTACAGGCTCTTGCATTGTCTTATAGAGTAAAGTCACTGAGACATAGTGACATTCTCCAAATGTCCAGGATATCCAGCTTTCCATCTTGGGAAGGAGGTAATGTCTAAAATGCATATTCCCAAGGCTTTACTGATAATATTCAATTCCAAAAAGAGAAGGGCCTGAAAATCTGTATTTAAAATATAGACATGAGATGAGGATGTAGCTTGATGTAGAGCACTTGCCTAACATGTACATATTCAATCCCAACACTTCAAAATCAATGAATGAATAATAGAGATAGACAGAGACAGACACACAGATATATACCCTTCAGTGGACTTCGATACAAGCAGTCCACATAAACCCGTTTGAGGACCCCTGTTCTACCGCTATAACCATAACTCCACCTCTGCCACCAACTCCTCCTCTTCTTTCTCCTTCTAATTTTCTTCTACCTCTCACCTCCCTTCCTGGCTCCCATGGAGTGAACAGCATTCCTCTGCTATGCCCTTCCACTATTCCATGTCTGTCTTGGAGCCAGAATATCCAGAACCCACTAAAACTGTGAGCCAAAATAAGTCTCTCCTCATTTCAACTACAGGTGTCAGATATTTTGTACTGAAGACAAGAAAATGACTAATACAAAAAATTGGTACCAAAAGAAGTGGGATCTTCCATATTATCATACCTGATCACATGGTTCAAAAACCTTTGGTACTGGTTTGTGGAAAGTGTGTGGAAACATTGGGAGATGCAGGCTAGAGAATCCTTAAACTGCTGTAAGCATAGCCTAATAGATGACTGTGGCCAGAGGTCAAAAGACCACTTATACTAGGAATACAAATACTAAAGGCCAAGCTCAGGAGATTTCAGTTGGGAATAAGGGATCCATTAGCAACTGGACCACAAGACATGTGCATTACACTATGGGTAAAAGATTGTTTACATTTTGTCTATAGTATTCTGAAACTTTACAAGAGACTGAAATTAAGGGTGGTGGGCTAATTAAGCAAATTTCAAAGCAGCCCAATGTTTTGACTCTAGCATGAGTCTTCTGGCCATTTTTAGCCAGATCTATAGTGAAAATCTGAAACAAAAGAGAGAGCTAAGAAGATGTGAAAAATTTGAAACTTGGGTTGCATGCATTGTTTCCTCGGGGGAACATTGCTTTCCTTTATGCCTAGTTTACACAAGGTCCTGACTTCCTTTCAGAGAGAGAGAGAGAGAGAGAGAGAGAGAGAGAGAGAGAGAGAGAGAGAGAGATACAGACAGAGACACAGAGAGAGACTAGAAACTAAGAAAACATCAAACGAGTATATTTCTATTAGATTGTTAGCTCTATGTGTAATTTTCTCTTTAAAACCTCTTGAATCTCTGGCACCTACACAGCGCCTTTTACATAGCATGTGTTTGATAAATGCTGAATGGATGAATGAGTAAAGGAATATTTCTAAGCTAGAGGTTTTAAAAAATTAATTGCTAAAAGTCATTAGTGCATCATTTTGTGCAGAGATATGTGGTATTTGATTATATAAAAGCTTTTTATTAAATCAAAAATGGGTAATAATTAAATGACTTTTTAGAAGTCATGATAGAAACAAATGATAATAGTTCTAGAATCCTTAGGTTGTCTATTAGAAAAATAATTGTCCATTAGAAATTTTATATTATTAATTATGTTATTTCTACACTATTTTTCCTTCTCAGGCAACAGTTTATAAAAAGAGGAAAAAGTCAGTTCCTTTTAGTTCTCACCAAAATATGAGCTGGTTAAAGTGAGGTGGCACTTATCACGCCTGCATGCTGCCCAGTCCAGACCAGAGCAGAGCCAGAAGGAGGTTTATGAGCTGCACACGTGGTATCTTTGAAGATGCCTTTGACCAACTAGAAAGCTGATACAGGTGATTTGGAGATTTCTACTACTTGGTAAAACCTAAATTTCTTCCATTCCCACCCTCTGTCAATGCCAGGAGGGCTAACATAGCATTCAACCTACTAACAGATTCTTTGACACATGAATCCATGGGGCCTAAGGAGGTTTTCAGGCTGGAGAGGTGGGGGCTTCTGCAGGGATCTCCAAGGCCCCCAGATATTCTGATCATACGCATGAACCACTAGGCTAGATCTTAGTGAAAACAAAAAACATTGTAGTTTTCCTAGTGCTGCTGTACCTTATAATATACAGCAAAAATGATTTTAAAGCATAAATATAAAACAATGACTCATCATTGGCCCTCACATACCATCTGCAAAAGAAAGGGTTTCCACTAAAAGGCTTTTACTGTGAATGTATGAGGTAGGGAAGACTGGAAGGTGGAACTGTCTGATGTTCTCCAGTTCCTTTTATCCTAACCACTTTCATTTCCAAAGCTGAAACACACAAGGAAGAACAAAAGACGGCCCTTGGAGCCAGCTTAACCTCCACTGCTGGAGTACTCGCCAAGCGCTAGCCCAGCTTCCCCAAGTTGTTTTTATTCATTCTTCACATTGAATCTTTTATCCTAGTCCCACAGTTTGGCTCAGGCACCTTGACATGAGTAGTTATTTCTTCTACCTTGGACTGCAGACCCTAACATGAAGGATAGACACCTTGTCAGGTCCACCATCTGGTTTCTCTTTGACATTCCTTAATAGGGATTTTATTGCTTGATATCTATGGCCTAAATAGAATTAAGGGGCATAGGCCTGGGTAAAGGAATCTCTGGAAAACTGCACTAGACTGGGCACTCCTACCACCCTTATTCCTATGGAACACTACAACATTCGCTTGTGCCTGGAGTCTTAAATGTATAAAAAAGTCTTATTCGTAAATGAGTAAGACTGAGCTGGTGATTATTCTTGGATCTCATCAGATGTAAATATAGAAAAAGGAAAAAAACTATAGCAAGCACTGGAAGATGTCTGTTGGTACAGCAGACATGAGGAGTAGCTTGGTTTGGTGGCAATTTTTTCAATGCATGATTACCTATGTGGCTTATGATTCTAAAAATAAAGCTAAAAAGGGTCCCACCATCAGAGAAATTTGGAAGTGATAAGGTTAAACAGGTTTATCCAATGTGCATTGTGAATTTCTAAGAGAGCTGACCACTATTTCTCCAAGAGCCTAGGAAAGGACCCTGTTGAAGTAAAGTATCTCAGCACAACCATCATTTCTAATTGCCTAATCATGCCCAGGAAAGCCTTGGGTTTAAAAAAATAGACAAACTGGAGCTCGAATTCTCAGCATGTGGTTAATTCCTCTGCACTTCAGTTTCCTCCTAAGAAAGCATGAATAATAGTGCATACTCTCATGAACGTTCAGAGAACTTAGTGAAGAGTTCACTGGTGGGCAAAACTGGCTTAAACAAAGAGTGGCTCTTTTTAACAAATGAGTTAGGAAAGGCCATCCATTGGTAGACACTCATACTGTCCTTCCACAAGCATCTTTCTTCAGAACACCTTCCTTGGGGATTCCCAGAGACCAAACTCCCCTGGAAGTTCTGTAAAATTGAAGATTCCCAAAGAACTATGCTTCCTCATTCCTCCCAGAGCTCCAAGATCTGAAAGAATGTTATGCCCATGATAACAATAACAGCTAAAATCACTTCTGTTCATTACAGAATTAATATGTATCTAGTACAGTAGATGCTTTATATTTCTATTATTCCAATAAATCTTCATAGCAAATTTTCAAGGTAGCATGATCACCCCCACATTACAGGTGAAGAAACTGAGGCTCAGAGATGAAATATCAGACTCTGTCGCATAACTGATGAGCAGTGCAACTGAAGACTTGCTCTGTTTAATTTTTAAAGAACAAAAATGCTCACTAAAAGGTTGTGGTCCTTTAAGATTACAAGTGGCTAGAGGAGCTAAAGGAGGATTTCTAAATGCAAAGTTGTATGGTGCAGTTTGGGAACTACTCCACGAAGAACTCTCACCCAAATAGCCACAGTGTTTTTAAAATATCAACTTAATTTGAAATAGGCCATAGCCCTTCAGTTTTCAGTCATCTGTGCACCTTTTTTTTAATGATGACTGACTTACAATAAACACCTGTGAGAGAAAGCCATATTCTGAGAAATTGCTCAATAACAAATACACTCCAAGGAGTTCCCACTCTCTCTTCTGTTACCACATAAGCTACGGTTCTAACGTAGAGTTCAGCTTGCCCAGAGTGCCTAAGGACAAACAAACACATTACCTGTATCTTTTGCTTGGCCAAACACAGAGGTTTTCCTCACTCCAGGTGTTTTAGGAGAAACAAAGATGAGAAAAAGGCTTCTCTGTGAGGGAATATGGGAGCCTGAAAGAAAAGAAATATAATCTCAGCTCTCTCTCTAACACACACACACACACACACACACACACACACACACACACACCTACCTCACATCTCTGCAGGGATAGCTTCTGTTTAAATAAATAGACACAAAGAAAGAAGCAACTAGAACAGTACCTGGCTGCTTTGCCTTTCTGCCTGCTTTGCCTTTCTGCAAGAAGCAAGCCCTCAGAGAGGCTGAGCTGGCCTATGAGCGGCAGCTCTCTAACCCAAACTTCCACTCTCTTCCTGGCCTGTAGATAAAGAGATGTGCTCAAGTAATGGGCTGCAATCTCAGCAGTCACATGACTGCTTCCAAGAGGACCACACTGTTCAGGCAAGACTAGGCTGCTGCTTGCAGAAATCATTCTCATCAGTACAAAGTGGAAAAGAGGCATTCAATAAATAAAAGGCAGAAAAGCAGCCATTGTGGTTAACAGAAGATGAGTCTTAAAAAAAAAACATTTTGGTAATTTAGGTACAATTAGGAGAAGAAAGCAAGCATTTTTCCTTAGGACTAGAAAGACACAAATTTAAGGGAGCATCCACCAGGCTTTTGCTGAAAATGAACCCCTGTGACTCTGTACTCCCCTAGGCATTCAACAAGCTTCTGGAAAGACTAAAAGAGGAAGATTCATGGCCCTTCACTGGCAAGAAGGAAAATAAAGGTGACTTGAGTTTCAGAAGTAAGAGGAGGAACAAAAAAGTGAAAACTCAAAGTGCCCATGTTAGTAATGGATGCCAAGGGCCACAATTTGGCTAATTTTCAACACAATTCAGGGATGCTGTTGTTGCCAGAGTCTCGTACAGACTACGGCCACACCACACAATTTTCCTCCTAAACTCTTCCCAGCTGGTAATACAGCATATGCGTCTTCAAGCATGCTCTCTTTTGGCTTCACCAGTCAGAATTTACAGGACTCTAGCAATAACCATTTTATAACCCCACCCCAGCTGCTCTTTAGCCCTATCCCTCTCTCCAATTGAGAGCCACAGGAGAGCTAGCAAAATGGTTACCTAGTTTGCTATTTAATCAAATGAAGTCCCTTTAAAAATAACTGGAAAGGGAGCTTTGGGCTTCTGTACTTTATTAGCATATTAAATATTAGCAAAGGGCCTCATTATGAGGCAATACAACCATACAGGTTTCCATGGCAGAAACATGAAGACAAGGATCTGATGAAGCTGCCACACACATTGTAAATGATAGCATAATTATACAGGCTCCCCCTAAAATAGTGGACAATGTGACTGTATGGCTTTTCCAGCCAAATGCCTGTTCAATCCACAGCAATTAAATATAGTGGCTATGTTGAGATACAATTGTTCAAGTGTCACCTCCTCTGTGTGAAACCTTTCCTGAATCACCAAAGGGGAATTAGCCTGTCTCCTGGCTCTCAAAGCCATGTGTGCGTCCAATTATAGAGCTTCCCAAAGCTTTCTATAATTTGCCTTTTTACACACCAAATCCTAAAGGGGAAAATCCATTCCACTCCTCTTGGCATCCTCAGCACTGGATACATGAGACATACTCACCAAATATTTTATTAATCACAGAAAGAAGGAAGGAAGGAAGGAAGGAAGGAAGGAAGGAAGGAAGGAAGGAAGGAA